TAAAAAAACCATTCGCAGGATTATGGCAAGAATTGTTGAGAGGAGGGTTTTTGGTGAAGTCCAATTGGACTGTAGTTTGAGAACAGTCAACAGCTGACCCAGGGGAATTGATGTCCTTCATTTCTATGGTCCTCGACCAACCATCTTGGTTGGCCCAAGAACTGTTTTGGTGTTTGGGAGGCATAGGCTGACCTATGCAACCCATTTTATAAGGTTGAAACCTTGAGGTTTTTGGGGGACTGGAAATTTTAAAGAGGTCGGGAGGGGAAGGGATAGACAGGGGTGGGGGAGGGAGATGTAGTGATTATGAGATTGGTGGAGTAGAGTAGGACTTTGAAGATATTTATTGAGTTGTTTTTTTTAGGATTTGATGTTTGGATGAGTGGAAAGGTGGTTGATTTTTAGTGGTTGATGATGAGTTTTCTGTTGCAGGCCTATGAATGATTGTTTAGAATCTCCAAAAACCAATTGTTCCTGCCTGGGCAATAACTGACAGTCTACACATGAAATAACAAATGGTAACAGAAACCAAGCAGTGTCAGCACCTTGTTCCTGTCCTATAAACCATTGATGAACTACAATTCAATATTTCAGGACAATCAATTAACTGACCAACAATGAGACAACAGAATCTTAGGGACCTGTACCATAGGGTTGGATTTCGAAAAACAGGCATGTTAAATGGTTGCTGAGATGGAGCTGATAAATCCTTTGGGATCAGGGCATGTGATTGACAGAATGATAAGGAACACTGCTGCCAGGTGCAGTGCTTCAAGGGCTGTTGACTGACTGATCAAAGAGAACCAAAGCAAGCAGTCAATAGGATTACAGATGAGGGATTGTTTAGCAAAAGATGCAGAGACTGACCAATGCCTTGTGATGAATTGCAAAGTGAGCAGCTGGAAGGATTCCTTCTGGCCAAGATGATCAATATGGAGGAAAAAAATCAACAGGTCAACTTAACATACTGACTTGTTGATGAGGGAGAAAACAGAGCCTGACCAAGTGCCATACGTTTGCTATTCAAAAGGTTTGCAACAATTGACTTTGATTGCTTCTGACTCAATGGTTCCGAGTGCAGTGAGTTTAGAGGGTAATTCAAGTGCTAATCCTGGATTTGCAACCAAAATGAAAAAAAAGGATAATGTGTTTTTATGGGTGGGGTTGAGCAGCAATTGTAGTGGGAGGGAGTTAACAGGCCACTTTGGTGATATCCCATCTGGATCCTTAATACCATCTTTGGATGAGTGAAAGACATAATTACAAATGGGACTGTTTGTTTGTAATGGCAATTGAGCTGACAGGTGACATAGTCTCATCCATTTCAAATGGTTGGCACAAAATATGACTGATTTCAAATGAGTGCAGCAAAACACTATTTAAAATTGATGATCCAGGCCAGTAACTAAGGGTTCCTTACATTGATTGAAAGGGTAAAGAAATCACAAAGGAAGTGATGCACAAGAGAAACGATTGATGTGTCCAGAGAAGAAAAAAAAAACTTAATAGAGATGATGATTTCAGGGGATTCAATTTTCCTCTGAGGTGTCACTTGTATAAGGACCAAACTCTTCTTGGATAAATGGTAGCATGTGGCAAAAGCAGGCCACACATTAGGACAATTCACCTCTGAGATTTGAGGCAAATTACCAACATTTATCATTGAAAATTTGCAAATTCCTCCAAACCTGATGATTCATGAGATTTGATGGAATTCATATAATTTTATCATTAAATGTGCTAAAAATTGCCTTGAACTTCAGATGAGACCCGGCCTATTGCCAAGGTCTATATTAGAAAAGTCAAAACCAAGCTGGTCCATAACTGATGAAGCAACTTCACTAAGCTTGAGTGGTGTGGGTTGAAATGATTCTCCCTTGTTGGGGCATAGTTGTTCTCAGATTGAGCTGATATTGTGGCTTGGGGTACTGAAACAAGCTGGTCAGTAGTTGTAAAGTATTCTAAGCAAATTCCGGGCTGACACCAGTTGGTAGAGTATTGAGTCTATTGGATTGTTTTTGGTAATGATTGTATGATTCTATCCAGATTTCAGAACACTGGTATCCACAGGAATAAAAAAAGCAGCCTACAAGCAATTCATGAGATTCTTGTTCTATTGTGATGTGTAGAAAAGAACAAGGAACTTACTTTTGAACACCATCTTCTTGATCATAACGTCCACCATCAATTTTATTCATTATGTCTTCTTTGATTGATTGATTATTATGTTGCTTCATCATTTGAGATCAGAGTGATTCAATTTTTTGATTTGGTAAAGTTCTTGCAATCCGATGCTTCCTTGGTTGTAATTCCGTCGTAAGTTTGAGACAGGTGCATCTGGAGCTCAGCCATATCAATGATTTTGGTTCCATAGTCACTGGTTAACTTGAGTAGCAATCCACCAGCCTTTGATGCAAGATGAAGAAAGTAGCAAGCGGCATGGCAGAGGTCATTGTTGATAACCTGAACAAAAATGCCTAAGATATTTTGAGACCAAGCATCAATAAATTCATAGATTGTGATGCCAAATGGCTTCAACTTATTATGCCCATCACAAGCCCAGATGTGATTGGGGCCTAGAAGTCAATACACATGTCTTTTACAAGCTTGACAGAGTTGCTTTAATGAATTCAAGGAAAGGGTTAATAATCAAATGACAATACAATTACTAACTGGGAAACTCTAATATCATTCCCATCCTACAAATATCCAGTGTTGCTTTGCAGAAGATTTTCTTGAGCATTGTTTATGGCTTCAAGGACACAATCAATGGTGACTTTGCTGTCCAAACAATTGTTTTGAAGTAATTTGACACCAAGCTTCTTCATGCAGCGTTGGACAGTACAAACAGACACTTCAACACAAGTCTCCTTGCTCCTTGTATAAAAGCAGTTGAATCTCCCAGATTCATTCCTTTGGACTGCAAAAATAAAATTGAGCCTTGTACTTCAAGGGATAGCAGAGCAGGAATAGGGGCCTGAGAAAGATCACACCTCTGGAGTGACCATTCATTTTGCTTATGTGATAAGGTTTGAGGTGAAATTTTGATTCCATGATCTTCAGAGAGGATACATATGATTTCCAGCCCTTTGTGACCTTTTCAAAAGAGAGGCTCAACTAGATTGTTGATGTGTTGATCTCTAGGAGAAAGATCAAGTATTGTATTTTCACCTTTGGAGGATTCTGGATTGGTATCACCTGGTGATAAGAAGTGTTCATCATCAGACCCGGAATAATCAGAATGATCTGTGGTTCTGTGGTGTATACACCATCTGGGTCTGATGTTGAATAAATGGTATCATTGGAAGAGGTTTGCTGCCTATTGGTACTGTTGAAAGAGGTTTGTGGCTCATGGTTGAGGCTGGAATTGCAAGGTGGAGAGTCCAAAGTTTCAGGAGCTGTAGAGTGGTGGTTGATGTTGTTCATGGTTGATGTTTTTAGAATGTAATAAAGGCTCAATGTTTTTGGGATGTGATAGAGGCAAAGTGCTTTGGTCTATTTTTGGAATGCAGGCAAGATTGGTTGTGAGTTGATGGTGTATGTTTGCAGTATGTAACAAAGACAGGAGATGGATTGTGATTCAAGTCAATAACACAAACAAGCAGAAAGGATACATGACCCAATAGCAGAGTTCAATCTTTCACATGAGTATGTTGCTTCACATCTCACTTGGGAACAGGGCATGGTATTTGATATCATCAGCCTTTCCATGTAGACAAGTTACATTGAAACTATGAAAAATTTGAAAATGAATGAGTTATTATAAATTATTA